AATCTACTACTGACTGCCACTGCACATGGTGTTTCCCACTTCTGAAGATACCAAAACTAAAATTGCAGGTTTTCATATCACTCCATACCAAACGGTCTGACTAACAACTTGAGTGCTTTGGAACCATCCAGATCCTCCCTGTAAGTATCACATTTAAAGCTTCCTTCTTCACCAAAGCAGTAAGCTTCACAAAGATTGATGTTCTCTCACTTCATTCAGCATGCAAAGACATCGGATACAGCTGGATATGCAAGAGTCACTGAAGTTACAAAAATACCTGGCTAAGACCCCATCACTATAGTATCTTATATTCAGCGTATGCAAAGCCAACTTTCAGTTTCCTCTATGAATAGCTGAAATTACCAACTGGTGAACTGCAGCTTAGAAGTCAAACCGCTTGAAGGCTAAGGTAGTCCCTGACAGAAGGAGAGAGCATTTCCAAAAGCATTTCCTCGTTTCCTGTGTAACATTCTTAATGAATGAGAACATCTCTTCCCAAAATGGCAGGTTGGCCTCTAGCCACAAGAACCCTTTCAACTTTGATTTATGAGCTCCATATCTTGAAAAAAAATGCAGCTAATATAAATACGTAATCAGAAAAACAGAAAGTCTTACAAACTACTGGACCTACTTCTCCTTGAGAAATTGACTTTTCTATTTATTCATTTTTAAACAGCTGAAAGTAAACAAACACAATTAAGGCTGTCTGGAAAAATATAAAATGCTGTCACTCGCGAGGAAGAATGCATTAAGATATGCAACTTCTGAGGACAAACTGCCAGCTGAAATGACAACATTCATCCATAATACTGGACTTAACAGATCTTAAATTATACTGTGGAGGAGCACTAAACAGTAGACAATGCAAGCATACATATGTCTGCATATGAAGATGGACACAAAACATTACAAGGCAGTATTTCTTCTGTTATTTTATGTCAGTTGAAATGTGAAGCAGAAAGGAAATTAAAAGCAGGTAAGCAGCTTCTGCTTAACCCACTGCGTTAATTAGATTTGAGCTGATTAATTTCCAAAACAGAAATAATGACTCGCTATTTAGCAGTACAAAAAAAAAACCGAAAAAAACCACACCACACCACACAACACTTTTAATGTGGTTTTCAGGTCAAGTTATAATGCATTCTTGTAAAAAAATCAGCAAGCCTCATTTGCAGCATCAAGAAAAAAAGAACAAAATTATTTTATGTCAATCTTTATTAAAAATTAATAGGTCATAGTATTTTTAAATGTTAATGTCTCATTTGTTCCAAGTTAAATCACAAGTGTACATCTGTAACAATCATACCTTATCAATCACAGACTCACTTAAAGGTGACTGACTATTTTAAAGGGATTATGTCAGCCCTCCTATTTTTATGCTGAAGGAACCCCATTAAAAATCCTGTCTTCAGGACAACTTGGTTCAACATGTATTCTGCTTAATTCCAGATTAGAGATTAGTTTTACAATTTTAACAGTTATAAAGCTAAGATCACGTTAAAAGTTATCATTTAGGCTTCCTACAGTTATGTTCTCTTCTTGGTGGGTTTACAAGGTGCCACAAGGACACACCGTGAGTTAGTGGCTACAATTCCCAACAAGAACATGGGACACTGAGCTTGGAACAAAGACACTCTTGAAATTCTGTGCAGTTCCTTCAGAAACAAGACTTCTCATTTAAGTTAGATG